TCCCCTTCTTTGGGTGGGGCGAACAGTGTGGGACCCCCCCCCCCCCATAGCTAGCAATCCAAAACAGTCCAGTGGCACCTTTAAGACCAAGGAAAAAGGGAGAAACGATGGCTGAGGGGTGACATGATTGAGGTTTATAAGATTATGCATGGGATATAGCAGGTTGAGAAAGAAGTACTTTTCTCCCTTTCTCACAATACAAGAACTTGTGGGCACTCAATGCAATTGCTGAGCAGTCAGGTTAGAACAGATAAAAGGAAGTACTTCTTCACCCAAAGAGTGATTAACACATGGAATTCACTGCCACAGGAGGTGGCAGCAGCTACAAGCATGGATGGCTTCAAGAGGGACTGGATAAACATATGGAGCAGAGGTCCATCAGTGGCTATTAGCCACACGGTATAGATAGGAACTCTCAGGCTGGGGCAAGTGATGCACTGTATTCTTGGTGCTGGGGGGGGGAATAGTGGGAGGGCTTCTCATGTCCTGGCCCCATTGATGGCACTGGTATTTCTGGCCACTGTGTGACACAGAGTGTTGGACTAGATGGGCCATCAGCCTGATCCAACATTGGCTTCTCTTATGTTCTTATGTAAGGTTTATTCAGGTACAAGCTCTCCCTCCTCTGTGAGGGCAGATCTGTTCCCCCCCCCCCCAATAGCTAGCAATCCAAAACAGCCCAGTGGAGCCTGAGCGGTGGGTGTTGCCTTCTGACACACTTCCGGTGATGTCAGGGGGCGTGGCATATGCAAATACGTTATGCTAATATGTTATGCTAATGAGCTCCTGCACCTCTTTTTCTACAAAATGACCCCCGGGTACACATATCGCTATTTTCAGTTACAAAGTAAAAAAATAATAAACTCCAAAAGCCCACCTGCCATTTTCTAGCTGAGGAGGTAGGCTCTGCTCCAACCTCCAGAAGTCAAGAGAAGCTTTCAGCAGGGCCAATACGGCTTTGGTAAGACTCAGGCCAGTCTGGCCCTTTCCCTTTTAAAGGACTATGGGTGGAAGCCAGGACTACCTGACTATCAGCTGCTCATCAGCATCTCTCTTTGACTAACAGCTGTTTCCTGGCCTGCTTCCTCTCTTTACCATCCCACTCCCACACCTCCCTGAAACACTCCCAAAATTCGAGAAGATAATTTTTCACTACTCTCAGAATTCTGGGAATGTTTGTCTTGATTTTGGGTGTCCCCAAGTCAAACTCAAAACAACTAATTATGAGCATCATTTCAGCTCAGGTATATCTGAATGCACACCCCTACAGCTATTCCAACAAGCAGCAGCTGTTCAGAGTCTCAGCAGAGAAAGTATTTTCCCCCAAACCTGCAATTTTGATTGTTTAACTGAAGGCAAGGATGGCAGGGGCTGAACCAGGAACTGTCTCAATGCAAAATGTTTGCCCTATCACTGACGCACAGTCCTTTCCCTAAAAACTGAACCCTCAAGAAGACGAAAAAGAAGAGAAGAGGTTAATTTATACCCCAGCCTTCACTACCCAAAGAAGTCTCAGAATGGTTTACAATCCCTTTCCCTCCCCCTCCCCACAACAGACACCCTGTGAGTTAGGTGGGGCGGAGAGAGCTCTTTCAAGAACTGCCCTTTCCAGAACAGCTCTGAGAGAACTGTGACTGACCCAAGGTCATGCCAGCAGCTGCATGTGGAGGCGTGGGAAATCAAACCCGGTTCTCCCAGATTAGAGGCCGCGCTCTTAACCACTACACCAAAACTGAGCTCTCAACAGTGGGCTGCAAGCACAAGTCTCTCCTTGAGGACCAGAACTCTCCAGGGTACCATTGCCACCCCTCAAGTCTAAGACCACTTAACCAACCTGTAACATTATAGGACACTGCAAGCTTTTAAATATTTTGATCACTTTGAAGTTACTAGAGCCTTGGTGGGGTGTGTCAATTAGGATCAGAGGAAAAGAATATCCCATTAAAGGGTATTTTATTTGGATTGGGGAATATTTTAAAGGTAATATTTGGATTGGGGAATATTTGCTGAGAAGAGCACATTCCATAGAGCCATTTGCACTCTGAGAGTGTAGAAGTTAAAAATGTCCCTCCTGTGTTATATGACTTACGCCCACAACCAGATGAGGGATACCCTAAATCTCGGCAGTAAGAACAATAAAACTTCAGTACTAGACTGTTGAGGTCCAGTGCTAAGTGAGTAGGTGGCTATTCATCAGGTTTCAGAGCACAGCAAAGTACAATGAGCCTTTGGCACAGCTGAGTGGATCCCCGACACCTGTTCCATCCCAGGTCAGAACCACTCCCTTTTAAAGCGGATGGGTTAAGTCCGGGGATCCAGAACTACCTAAAAAAATAGTGGTGGAATTATTTATTTTTAATTGATTTTTATTTATTTATTTATTAGATTTTTACCCCACCCTCCCCACCAGGTATTTACTTAAGCTGTTTTAAATCCCAGTTTACCGCTTGCAGTAACTGCTCCCAAGCTCCTCTTTCTTGAATAAAGTATTTTTTTCAAAAATGATATCCCTTTAAATAATTTCGATACGTTCTGCTTCTTGACACCAGTCATAACATGTACATTTAATGAGGAAATATTAAAATTCCAACTGGTGAATGCCATCTTCTCACAGAAGCTAAACTAAACATGGTCTTCATTCTTCACAGAAACCTTGTTAGAAGACCAGTCAGCACAGCTAAATATCCAAGCCTCAGAGCATTGTTTGGAAAATAGAGTCACCTCCTAAGGCACATCGTTGTTGGCCACCTCTGGCTAGAACTTTCCTCAAAGATTTTTTTTAAAGGGAAAACTACAATCTTTCTAAATATTTTATGCAGTTGCAAAGATGTACCATAAGTGTTTAGTTCTATTAATTTTTAAGTGGTTAGTGTATTCTAAACTATGGTTCACATATGAACACAAAGTACTGGACTATCACATCATTATCCTGTTCTTCCTCCAAGGAGTTCAGTTTGGTGTACATTAGGGGTGTGCAATTTTTTTTAAAAATCAGTATTTTTTGGTTTGGGTCTTTTGGACCCGAAAAAATTAAGGTATTTCCAAAAAATTCTGGATCTGGTATTGAGATCCAGGATTTTTCGGAAATCCCAGGTTTTTTTTGGTGTTTTTTTGGGGGGTGTGTGTTCAATAGTCCCAAACCAAAAAATACTGATTAAAAAAACCCAGCCCAATCCTGGGACTGGCTTGACTTCTTCTGCAGCATGGTTTAAACCATGCTGCAAGAGAAGCTTGGCCCCAGGATCAATGTGCCATGTGGAGGTCTCTCCCCACCATATGCAGACCTGGATGGAATGGTGTCTCCTGCAGTGTGATTCCAACTGCACTGCAGGAGAAGCTGGTCCCAGGATCTGCTGTGCCATGGCTAGCAGATTGTTTCCTGGGGTACAGCAGCTTCTGGGGCTGGCTTCTCATGCAGCCCAGTTTAAACCTGGATACATTTGGGAAGCCGAAATATATCCAAAAAATACCAATAAGGTATTTTTCAGGTATATTTTTGGCTCGGGTAGATCTGAATGCACACCCCCAGGGCTTTTTTTGTAGACAGCCCAGCAGGAACTCATTAGGATATTAGGCCACACCCTGACAGCACAGCTCATTAGCATATTAGGCTACACCCCCATGTCACCAGAAGTAACCTTTTGCTTCTTATTCTGTTTACCTTATTTGTTGTCAAAACCCAGGGCTTTTTTTTTTTTTGTAGCAGGAACTCCTTTGCATGTTAGGCCACATATCCCTAATGAGTTTCTGCTGTTGGGTGTGGCCTATTATGCTAATGAGTTCCTGCTGGGTGTGGCCAACTCGGGAGCCAGCTGGAACTCCGTTCCTGTGCGTTCCTGCCCAAAAATAGCCCTGCACACCCCTAGTGTACATTGTTCTCCTCTTTGAAAGGCAATATTTACGGGGGGAGATGACACTGGCAGTGTGATCTGTTGCTTTTTCATGAGTCATTCACAGAAAGCCTATGAATGCATCAATTAATCCAAACAAATAAAACCAAGACTTATATTGTGACTTACATCAAAAGTTGGTGCACTTTGTTGTGCACTTTGACTGCATGGCTCTCTGAAGCAATCACTGAAGGGGAGTAGCAGACCCATTGCAATGATCCAAGAACAAAGCTTCTCCGCTTCTTCTTGTGGTGCATTTTCCTGCTGGCTGGACAGCTTTTCCAGAAGAGTCCGGCCTGTAAGAATTAATTAACACACTAGTGACCAACAGCAACTGCCCATGAAGCATACAAAGTATCAAGGAGAACATTTAACCAAAATTGTTTGTACATAGCAGACATTCAAGTGACTGAAAAGAAGCAAAAATAAGAAGCAAAACATTATTTTTTTTCCTGCATGGAATACTTAGTATCTCCTATCTGAATTCCTTAGAGGTTGACGTTATAGTCACTGTTTGTTTTTTGAAAAGGTTTATTTTTCTGGACTGTTATTATATATTGGGGTTACGATTTATTGCAAGCTACTCTGTGGAGCCATTACTTGATAGGAAAGCAGGTTTATTAAACAAACAAACAGATCAGTACTGTGATGTTTGGCTCCTCTGTAAAGTGTACTCACCGTGGAGATGAGTAAATGGTCTGCCCTAAGGCCAGAGAGATGCAGCAGGCAGGATGCCTTCTAAACCTTCTTTAATGTGCAGAACAACAAGGCAGGGAACAACACAGACTTTACAAGGGCTGGAGTCCTAACTACCAAAAACCCAGTTCTAACTAGTATATTCCAGAAGACACATCCATTCATGTGAAGAGAGGGATGTTGTGTCATGCAATGTAAAGCTTGAAAACTCAGCCGGATTGTAATCCGGAACAACACCATTGGCTGAAGCATGTACGGTAGCCAATGAAATGTAAGAGTCTGTGCTGGAGGGAAGACAACTGATTGGTCGTTATCCATGTAATATGATTGGATGTTAACTGTGTGAGGGGCGTGGCTACCCCAACCCGGGAGAGTTTAAAAGGAGCTATGCTCCACTGTTTGTTGTCGTGCGTCATCTGATGCTGTGTGATCTTTGGAAGTTCTCGTTCTCAACAAAGCTGATTCACTTGTTACTTACTGCGTTGTTGAGTTGGATACTTAACAAGGGAGTTCCACTTAGGCCTGTCTCTTAAAGAGACAAGTTTTCATATACTACATCCACCCTCTTTACATGGGTATGAAATATCTATCACAAGTCTGGGGTCAGAGGTTCAAGCACACACCTTCTTCTGCAGGGAAGAATGCTTTTCGCTTCTATATAACAAAATCAGCATGTTTTCATGGGGGACAAATAACCCGCCCAGTCCCCTCCTGGTCTACGTGCATATTTGTTGTGTATTTCTTGACAGTTCTGGAGGCTTTGCAGAATGAAGTGTCCCTGGGCATGGACTCAATGACCTGTGCTGGAGTAACCTCAGGGGGTTTAAGGAATCAGGACACTGCCCAGACATCAAGGTGCTGTCTTTTCCAGGAAAGAATCCTGTGGGAGCAGGTGTGGTACCCCCAAATCTGTGTGGGGTGTGACGAACTGACCTCCAAAACCAGGATGCTTAGTGCATCAGATTCAGAGAGCTGGCAGATTAGAACTGTAACACACAGTTTGATTGACAGGCTACTGCCTGCGTGCACCCCCCCTTCTCTCTGGTTGGTCAGCGCCAGCTGAGGAGAGCTCTGAAAAGTCTTGTCAGCCTTGTCAGAGAGAGTCAGTTGTTTGGACTTTGGTTTGGCAGTTGCCAATGAGGAGAAGTGTGCATGTCAGTCTCAGGGAAACAGACAAGTTCACTTGGAAAGTGAAGGGACACCACAACTTGCCTTTACTGTATACCATCATATTGGAGGAAAAACTCAGAAATCAGAACTTAAAGTCTAAGCATCAGCCTTAGCTGAATTCCATTTATCCACAGTCTCCAGAACAGGGGTTTAGGTTTGACAGAAAAGACTGGACAGTCGGTTGAAACTGCCAGTCTAGCCAAACAGATGAGGAGAAGTGTGCATGTCAGTCTCAGGGAAACAGACAAGTTCACTTGGAAAGTGAAGGGACACCACAACTTGCCTTTACTGTATACCATCATATTGGAGGAAAAACTCAGAAATCAGAACTTAAAGTCTAAGCATCAGCCTTAGCTGAATTCCATTTATCCACAGTCTCCAGAACAGGGGTTTAGGTTTGACAGAAAAGACTGGACAGTCGGTTGAAACTGCCAGTCTAGCCAAACAGAAAAGGGTTATCGCTCCTAGAAAGAGGAGGGTACTTCTTCCCCAGTTATTCGGTGGGTTCAATTCAGAAGGGGCCCCTGGTTTGTGTGAAAAGGGAAATGGTCTTAGACTCCTCGAGAGGGAAAAAAGGAAAGCTGTAATCTCACAAGAGAAGTATTTAAATACAGGAAGAAAGTGCTAACTTTCAGGAAACTCAGGTAGTTATATAAAACTTTAATTAAGACACATTGTTGCTGAACGAAATCTCCAAGGCAAACAAATCTCTCACAGTTCAGAACTGAGTCTCTAAGAATATAAGTTTCAACTATACTCTGTTGCCTGTTCAATAAAAGCAACCTTTCTGTTTGAACTTTACTTCGAGTCAAGTGCTGTTTCCAAAGAGATTTATAAGATGGCTCCTGCTTGGTTACAATAAATCTCTGGCCTGGGCAAAAGCCAAGTAAATTCTCTATCACAAGGTGGGACAAACAGAAAGTTATAATTGTATTATTTAAATACGCTACTAAGGGGCTGCTCAGTGAGAGTGGTGAACAGTGTTTTGGCGGGAAAATCTGCCTCACAGTGAAGAAGAAGCAGGGGTCCATCATATGGGGCATCAGTGCATGACTCTTTGACAAGAGCCTCCTGTTCCTTATGAAGGTGGTCCCATTAGGGGTCTTCACTATATACTAAGTATGGTCTAAGTATGTCTAAGTATGTCTAAGCTGGTTTGACTTGTTTCTGCTTAGTGGGCCACCCATTTAGGTGTTGAGCCTTGAGGCTCTGTAGGACAGGGTTGGTGCTGGTGGACTCTTGCAACTGGCGCAGCAAATGATTGGTGATTGGATCAGTTTGTGTAACTGCATGGATTACTTTTTCAACTAGGAGAACATCTACATCTTCCTGAGGGGTGGTTATGGTGGCCCTGGACAATGTATCATCAATAAACGTGTCCTTGCCTTTTGTGTAGACAATTTTTATGCCATACCATTGTAGTTGCAAAGAGCATTCTCTGTAACCTGGGAGGACCCTTGCTGATGGGCTTACTGAAGATCACTTCCAGTGGCTTGTGATCTGACTGGACCGCCACTGGTACTGAAGCATCTAACAGCAATTTTGCAGCATTATAAGGCTATTAATAAATGCATGCAAAACCCATTGCTTTAGCAAATAGGAAGATATGACCATATTAGGTATTGCTAGGGCCCATTACTAAGGAAGAGGTTAACCTTGCTTTTATTTCTGTAATCAGACATAACACCTGCTGATAACACGAAACTTTTGTGATACATGTGTGATCAGCTAAGAATCTTGTGGTTTTGAAAAAGTAGAGAATGCTGTTTTCTGATAATTTCTGATAATCTTTCTTCTAAGAAAATAACAAAGAAAATTATTTTTTCTCTGTACTCTGTATCTATTTAAGCTTGATTCCAACTTCATTCGGTGTACAGCTTTGTTCGAAAGTGCATCTTGGTGCTTTGGCTGTACCTTGGCGCCAAAATAAACAACTGTTGACTCTCCTTGCTGAATCTCTGGTGGTCTATCTCCCAGAATTCCCGCTACAGTACACCAAACAAGCACAATGGCCAGAAGCTTTTTTTTGGTCTCCAGATAGTTTTGCTCAGACCGTACTAGTGCTACAAAGGCAGAGACAATGGGCTGCATCTTTTGGAGCAGGTAGGCACCCAAGCCATCCTTGGAGGCATCAGCTTGGACTACCAGCTGCTCTGTCAGATCAAAGAAACTGAGCACAGTAGCTGTGGTGACTGCTGTCTTAAGAGCATTCAGTGCATCTTGCTGAGCTGGACCCCACTGCTAGGCTGCATCCTTTTGTAGGAGCACACGCAGAGGTGCTGTCAGGGCTGATACATTAGGGATGCACCTGGAAAGATACTGTACCCAAAAGCTGTTGTTTGCCCATTCTATCTTTTGGCAGGGATATAAGAGTCATCATCGCCTGTACTTTGGTGTCTTCCGGTTTAAGACTATCTTTAGAGATGATGTGCCCCATGTACTTGACTCTGTCAACCATGCACTGAACTTTGTATGGGTTGAAATTCATACCTTTCTCGCAAGCCCTCTTCAGGACTTGTTAAAAGATCTGATAGTGTTCTGCTTCCATGGAGGCTGCAGCAATCATATCATCTGTGATGATGTTTACACCCAGGATGTCACAGAAATACTCATGATTCTTTTGCTTCACTGTCTACTTGATGCCAAAAGACATCCTATCAAAATGGTAGTGTTGACTGTGCATAGATCAGCAGATTCCTTGTTGAGTTTGACCTACCAGTAGCCATTGTTTTCGCCCAAGATTGTGAAGAATCTTTTTCATCCAGGCTTTGTTGCATGTCCTCAATGGTAGGGATGTAAAAGTGCTGCCGCTGGATTACTTTGTTTAGGGCTCAGGGGTCTAGGCAAAGGCAAAGTGATCCATTCTTCTTCTGAATAATGACAAGGCAATTGACTCATGCAGTTGTTTTCATTGCCCTAGAGATGACTTTAGGTGCTGGGGAACTGTCCGAGCCCTTGAAAAGCATCTTTGTTGGTTTGCAAAAGATCATCTTTAGAAGCAAGGCAGGCAGTGACATACTATGGCCTTTCCTAAGAAGGTCAACAGCCATGCAGAGTAGTTTTCCAAGCAGGGGTGGCTCATCATCTTCTGTAACACAGGAAGTCAACATGACTGTTCAAGAGCCAACTGTGCAGGGGGCTGTGATTGTTGCTTTCAGCCTGACTTTGCTGGTGCATTCTGTACGGTAACCAGCAAGGTAGAGACTCAGGTAAGGTATTTGGTTGAGCACCACTATCCAGCTTGCAAGATACACAAAGAGTTGCTATACTAATGGTGAAAAACCACGGCTCAGAACTGTTAGGTTCTCCCCTAGGCTGGGGGGCTGTAATCACTCCCACAAACAAGGAGTTCAAACTCTTCTCTCGCTAGGGGAGGGTCTGTTTGCTCCTGCACACCTTTGCAAAATGATTCCAACAGCAAGTACTTCCA